CGTTTTTTGGTGATTTTATTTTATTTGCAGGAATTTTCCCGAAAGTCAGAACTCAAAAGTGAATGAGCCATTTTGTAGACAACTCTCTATCGACTGACTTGGCTTTGAAAAGTTTTAGCAAAAATCTCTTGGGTAGGAACTTCGAAACAATGACAGCCGCTTTACTAAATTTATAAAAAAAATATGCAAAAAGTAGATCTCAGTGTTTTGAATTCCCTAACCAAGAGATTTTCACTAAAACTTTTCAAAGCCAAGTCAGTCGATAGAGAATTGTCTACAAAATGGCTCATTCACTTTTGAGTTCTGACTTTTTGAAAAATTTCTGCAAATAAAACAAATCACCAAAAAACGGTACGAAAGTACAGTTAGTTGGACAGGTCGAAAAACGTTTTACTTGTTCTCTTGCATTCTTTCGTAGGATCACCCACATAATATGCCCAACAATGGCATGTGTATTTGGTTGAATCATCCGGGTTTAGTAGACAAAACGCGTTCTTTCCACACGGCGCAGTTGAACAAGCTGTCATGTTGCATCCTTTCACGTAAGGATCACCGATGCTGTGCTGTCCGCATTTACATTCATAGGAATGCGTTTTTGGTATACAATAAGCATTTTGCGCGCATGGGCGAGTCGAACATTCTAGAAAAGCGAGTCTAGTTACATACATATAAGTATCCACAAAGTAGTGGTGTCTCCAGGAATTTTTCCTGAGCAGACAATAACTTCTTTTCTGCACTCTGAATTACATCACGGCTCAATAATAAAGGACTTTTAACTCTCCAGAAAAAGGTCACCACTACTGACAAAACTATTTCTTTTTTTATACCGAATAGACTCACCGAATTCTCGCAAGGTAAAAATTAGCGCTTTATAAATTTTGTCTATACTGTCTGAGATAGGTGACTAATTTTGAAACTGGTTAGACTCGACACCAAATAGGGGCAGTTCTTACTCACTGTTTGGTGTACATCCAGTACGAATATTGTAGGGATCACCATCATGTCCATCTTCGCAAAGACATTCATACGACACCCCATCGAAGTCACAAAACGCATTCTGACCGCAGGGACCCTTGTCACAGGCTGAAAAAAGTAAATTTATTATCGATATTTTGAAATAACTGCAAAGCTTCTTGCGGATGAATTAATTCTTCTACGTGTAACCTGTGAGCTTCATATCGACTTTACACGGCATTAAGAGAAGGAATATAAGGTGTTCTTACGATTTATTGGTGGTACTTTGCTTGCGATTGCTTGATAATAGAGCTTGTCGTTCGTCACTTGATTGCTAGGTTCCCTGGAACAAAATGTCGCTCGTTCACTAGGACTATCTACTATAGGTTGTTTTTCACATAATTAGAGAATGAAAAAGAGCTAGAAAGTTTGGGTTTTTACCATTTTGTAGAGGAAACCTAATCACATATTTTTGCATCAAAAGGTCTCCGAAAAGACAGATTTTCAGATGGTAGACGTTTCGAATGAGAAAATAAGAGATCGTTGTTCTATGATTTCCTCTGTTAACTTTATTGTTTAAAATAATGTACAGACCTACACAAGTCCGACGCTTAGCTATTGCCAGTGAGAATTTAAAAAATCATAACTCAGTCAAAATCGATCTACACTGCTTCCGAATATCTGGATATAGTCTAGTTTATTCACTATACTATAGAGTTCAATAATAGTTTTAAAAATGTATAGAAAATACCTCGGCTTCTGAAAAGATTTCCAGAAATTTTCCAAGGTGAGAGAATATTTCATACTAATCATCAATACAACGTCTGATTGAGGAGATAAAATAGATCGTGATCTTCTGAAGTGGTATGGATCGCTTTTACTGAGTTACGAAAACTTTTTAAGCTTCGGTCAAAATAACTAAGAACGGGTAGTTTCACTGAACATAGGTGTTTCCTAGGTTTGCGAAGTGTTTCTGAAAAATATTGTGAAGAGAGTCGGCAATGTCGATTAGCTATGATTCCATGCGTTTTGAGGTTAGCGGATTTAAAAACCATCAGATAGATAGGTCTCAGCAAAACCGTTATATCTATCTAACCGTGGTGGTCAGCAGTCGTGGACTTGGTAGTCTTTTGAAAAACATTTCAGATATTTTGCCTATTTTAAACATAGAGGTCCATAGAAAGAATCACAGACAACCACCTCTTATTGTCTCATTCGAAAGGTCCACCATCTGAAAATCTACCTTTTTCGAGACATTTTGATACAAAAAATATGTGATCACATTGTCTCTACAAAATGATAAAAACCCAAACTTTCAACTTTCAAGTTCTACTTTCATTCTTGAAAAAATAACCCAAGTCACTGCTATTTTTTCCCATAATAGATAAATCTTTCAATTTATTAATCATTCTGATGTTAAGAGCCCTGGGAATTATTGACGCAGCTGAAATAAAAAAATGCTATAGCATTGAAGAAAGCCACAATACTCACGCTACTACGAAATTGGCTATACTAAAAATAGTTTGCTATATTGTAAAGATGAAATTTCAGTAAAATATTTAACTTACGTTAATAGTAGAAGATTGACGACGATAATAGAAGAATACTTCATTGCGAAAGCAGATACCAACGTATGCCTGTGATTTAATGCCGATAGATGCTAGACTAATATCTACAAGAGTTGCCTGCTAAATTGAAATAACAATACACTGACTCTAAGCAAAGGTTTAGTGATCAAAGCAAATACAATTCAAAAGCAGGTCTTTTATGATATAAACACATCTCAGTTTCGTCGAACATGTCAGAAGAAGAAAGAAGATAAGTAGAAAAATAGGTCGAAAAAATAGCCCTCAAAAACCTGATGCGAACTCTCACAACTTTTTAAGGTTGAAAATTCTATAATGTAGGAAAGTCTATGCAGAGCGCCCGAGATAGCCAAACGCAAAAACTGTGTACATGATCCCAATAGGGAAAATATACACACATAATCCATACTGATGAGTCTGAAAGGCACAGTAAGAACAGACGAGTAAAAAAACTGCCATTAACAAATTGCGTTTATATAACTTAAAGATTTTGAAGGAGTAAATTGGTGTAGAAGGATTATTGATTTCACTGTTCTTTGGACTTGCTGCATCAACAATTGGCGAATCTTTATGTATTTTTCGTGCAAATTTCGGTGTAACATGCCAAACTTTTGCGAGGCCAAAATTGAACATACCCGATATCGTGGCGCCTGCTTTAAACAAGCACATGGCATTGTCGAACCAAACGTAGGCTAAGACCCGGGAGAATTCGTTTGGTGTGAAAGCGATGTGTGACATCGTGATTACTATTGATAGACAAATATTCACCATGTTAAACATAGCAATTTCAGGCAACCAGATCGTGAATGGCATGAGTATTAGAAAATATAAAATATTAATTAGATGAACGAAGCCACGCATCAGAAAACATGTGCAAAAAATTTTCTGAAAGAAGCCGATTTGTTTTGTCTTCCAAACTCTTCCAACCAATTTTCGAAGCACCTGAATGGGTCCGCTTGTCCATCGATGCTGCTGTGATAGATAAGCGGCGAAAGTTGATGGAAGTTCACTCAGACATTCGACATCAGTTAAATATATTGATGTCCATCCGTTGAGATACGCACGCAATGACAAATCTAAGTCCTCTACTAGTGTGTCCGTATTCCAACCACCAGACTGTTCGATAGCTGCTGTCCTCCACACGCCGCCCGTTCCATTGAAATTCATGAAGAACGATGCTCGAGAGCGCGCTTCTTGTTCACATTTGTGATGATAGTTTAAGGATATTTCTTGCATTCGGGTCAACAACGATTCTTTCCCATTGGTAAAAGTCCATCGGGCTTGAACAAAAGCTGCGTTAGGGTTAGCAATTAACGACGGAATAGTTCGCAAGAGAAAATCAGGCTCGGGTAAAAAGTCAACGTCGAATAGAGCAATATACTCTGCACCTCGAGTGGACAGCATGGCCTCATTTAGGCTTCCCGCTTTAAAACCATGCCGACAAATTCGTCGTTGAATATCTATTCGAATGCCCCGTTTTCGCCACATCAGTACGCGTTTCTTGACAAGATTAATTATTGTTTCGTCTGTCGAATCATCGAGAACATGAATACGGAGTCGATCTTTCGGATACTCAAAGTTACAAACACAGTCAATAATAGATTGACAAAAAACTAGTTCGTTATGCATTGGCAGTTGAACAGTAACAAGAGGATATTTGTTCGCCATCAACTCAGTATTAGCGGATGCTGGAATATGTTTCGGTCGAAAAAGCAAAATAAAAATGTGAATCAAGTAAGTAAGTGCCATAAAAGTCTAAAAAATAGCCCTTTGCGAGGCCAAAATTGAACATACCCGATATCGTGGCGCCTGCTTTAAACAAGCACATGGCATTGTCGAACAAAACGTAGGCTAAAACCCGGGAGAACTCGTTTGGTGTGAAAGCGATGTGTGACATCGTGATTACTATTCATAGACAAATATTCGCCACTTGTTGAGTTAAGACACTTGGTTTTTTTCAGTAAAATAGCTAACACGCAGCCAGTCCCTGTTATAATAGAACAGTTCTAATGCAGTTTGATGCTATTTCTGGTGGTATTAATATTGTAAATCATTTTGTAGACAACTGAGCGCTCAATAAACTGCATTAAAACTGTTCTATTATAACAGGGTCTGGCTGCGTGTTAGCTATTTTACTGGAAAAAACCAAGTGTCTTAACTTAACAAGTTTCAATAAGTTGAACTTTTTGGCTATTAACTTATGACTTAAGCCTCTTGAAATTAGCCAAACATGTTCAGATTTTTCCGGTTGTTCAATTCATACGTAACTCGGATTTTTAAAATAGGGAGCAGAACAAGAACAAATTAAAATACGATAAAAGCCTACTGTCTCGATCGACTTTTGCAACTAGAGTGGAAGTAATCTGTAACTGTAGAGTTCGTGAGAAGGAAGTTTTTCAAAAATAGTAGACATGGAAACAGTCAGCTTAAACAGTTTTCCGTTTCCGAGAGAGAAACGGTGAAAAAGAAAGAACTGATGTCGTCGAAATTCTAGAAGGTCACCGAAAATTATAGAATGTTCTAGAAAATTCCAGTAAGTGCCAGATCATTACAGGAGGTTATAGAAAAATCCCTATGGCCCTTTAACATTCTGCAACAGTCTGCACACAAGAGGAAAAACAATAGTGAAAATGATCCAGGGACCTTTCGTAAATTGAATGCCAAAAAAGAAAAAATGTTCGATGAAAAAACATCGAAGAGAGTTCGGCGACGTCTAGTTTTATTCAGAAACGTTTGGTCTACACGAAGGGGCTATTTACAAAAAGTTTCCGTTGGAATCGCGGGACTTGATTTTTGGAGATTTTCTGAAATTTTGGTTTTCCACAGACCTAGTTTGCAGGAATTTTCGTACCCATCTCGCCCGATAACAAACTATTTCAGTTGTTCAAATCTTTTTCACAATTGTTCTAGCTATTATGGTCGAGGAGAAAAATTAAAAATAAAGGTGAACCTATACTTTTGGCCAGTACCGTATAACAGAATTGTTTTTACATAGTTTGTGTAGAAATAGAAGAAAATCGTCTTCAGTATAACACTTTTGGGAAATTTCAGGTTTTTGCCCAAAAGTAAGGTGGTTTTCAGGTTTTCCCAAACATTTCAGGTTTTTCAGGTGAAATCTCACCGCTGCTAATAATTTTAGAAACTATTGAATTATCAATACACTATGAATAATCGTGTTCTCCGTCGTTGTAAGAAAAAACCTCCTTAGAAGGCCGAAACCAGTGGCGGATCCAGAGTTGTTTTTTGGTACGTGCGGTATACGATAAAAGTGCGAGATACGTGCGGTCGTCATAGAAACAAATTATTCTAAGAGAGATCTGCTGGAAAAAAACAGTTTTTTGGTTAAAAGGTACGAGCGACCGCTCGTACCGCTCGCGGGCTGGATCCGCCACTGGCCGAAACACAGCTGAAGTACAGTTCATTTCTCATGAAAAACGTTGTCTGTTTAATACTGAAGCCGATAAGTTCGAGCAAAGAACTGTACTTTGTTCTTTCTTCCGTAGTATAAAGAGCAAACCGAATTATATGTGTACGCCATTATGGTCGCCATGAACTACGCATGCACATCTCTCAATTCATGGCTAGAAGTTGTTTGAAAAACTATTAATAATAATAAAACATTTTCTTGTGTCATCGTCAAAAGATGAGTAGTCGCCTGAAAAAAGAAAAGGTACGATACCTTTTATTCTCGAAAATTGCTTGTCAGTTGTCTACAGGAATTTACAACATTAAAGATAATAAGCGGGAATTGATGTTTGACAACAGTGGCTGTAAGTGTGTGTACGTAAAAAATTTCATGATTTCACACTTCTTATCAAAAAACAACGATAAGTATTAATACGCGGCGTGTTTCATTCTTCTATAGCGAACTTCGTCTTTTAATGTGGTAACATGTTGATCTGCCAAACAAGTATTCACACAAAAAGATAGTACCGAATGAATGTTTTATTGATTAGCACACGGTGCTCATTGAAAAAAACTTTGCAAACATTCATACAAAGTATTTTTTCACGATTTCGAAATACGACATCAGAAACTGAAAATCACAGGTCCCTACATCTCTTTCTGTTCGAATTTTATTTTAGAAGCGGCCATGACCATTCCGTTACAAAATCTCGTACCCATAACGAACTCGGTTTGTTACCTTTATATTCACACCACAAGGCAAAAGTTTAGTGTTACTGGATCCGCTAAACGCAAATGTTGGGATTTGGCGTTCTATAATGCTGATATTTCCAAACTTTTTTAACTCGATTTAAGCTAACCCTAATCATGGGTCATTCATTTGAAAAGGGTTCCACCTTATGCGAACAAAGTTGTCTGTATCGTGACACGGACTCCACGAAAACACCCTCTGATCATTTATTTGATGTAAATCATCATTAATACGAATATCTGTCATGAGCCGCTTGATCTGGTATCAGAAACTCTCCCTAAAATGAGGGGGTCTCCTACCTATCTTCCGTGTGATCTACACGGACAACAATCAAACAACAGTTCACCAGTTCTCAGTTGTATCTATAATAATCTCGGTCTTATCCGTAGTATAAAAAGTATATAGAGAAGACAATGACTAATTATCAGCTGTGCTTCAGTGGCTAGAATCACATTCAATAACTGACGTTCTTAAACAGTTTTCCCCCTAATACAACAGTTAGCTAAACTGTGGCAGATGGCAATTTACAATGACAATTTACTTTAACTGATTGCAAAGAGGATAATCTATTAGCTATTTATGGTAACATTGCAACTGCACATCAACGTCATAATGAATACAATCTAGCCTTAAAATATTATCGGAAAGCTATTGATGCAACTTCAGGTGAGAAATCCATTGAAAACTATGAAACTAACATGGTATCAGTTTTAAGGCCCACCCCCCTCTCAAAAAAACGGAATTTTCGACAAAAATATCGATTTTTAGATTTATACATAGTTAGATAGCCCATCATCTCTACTTTCGAATGCACTATAATTTATTGGTTTTTCGATGGTTTTTGAGGGTTTTGCAACGGTTTTTCTGAAGACCCCTGCATCAAAAAATAATCAAAGAAAAAAATTGTTTTGCGTTTTTCTCGAAACTG